GGGAAAGAGAGGGAAGGAAGAGAGGGAGAGTTGTGGGAAAAGAAGAAAGGAAGAGAGGGAAGGAAGGAAGGAGAGGAAGAAAAAAAGAGTAACTTCTCTTTGAGAAGGTTTGCTGAGAAGTGGAAGAGACTGGATGGGAGTTGGGAAGGATTTTCTTTTTAGGATAAGACCTGACCTTGTACATGTGATGAGGGGAAAGGTGCTGCTAGGGAAGGAGAGGTTGAAGATTCAAGCTGTGGTATGGCTGATAGAGCAAGGTGTTGAAGGAGGTAGGAAGAGGGTGGGAGTCACAGTGTGAGTCAAGGATCCAAGTAAATGGCTTTGAATAGGGTGGACATTTCATTTTCTAGAACTGAAATAAAAATAGTTAAGGAGTGGTATAAATATAGGTAAGGTTACAGGTAGGGGTATGGAGGTGGAGGGAGAGCACTTTTGAGAACTTCTGTGTCTCTGTAAGATGAGGTGAAGACTGTTGGTTGAAATTGAAAGGTCTGGGCAGGGAGTGACCCTGGTGGAGGTGGGGCTTGAGTTGAGAAAATGAAAGAGTTGTTGAGGGGCATGAAAGAGGGAGTTTATCCCATTTATTTTAAAGGACTATTGTTGGAGACTCTGTAGTGGTATCAGTATTTCTTTGGAGTAGCTCAGTTTCCAGAAAGTATTGACCTGGAGCTGTGGTTATGTGGTCAGGTTCAGAGATAGCGGTGAAAAACCTGAAGTTGCTAAGAAATTTAGATGTCCAAATGTAGGATCTGGATTGGGAGGAATCAGGATTTGAGGGACAAGAGATTTCTGTAAAGTTATAGAGTAAGTAAGATCAGAGTAAGATTTTTGTGAGCTATCAGAGTAATCAAGGGACAGCAGTTTCAAATGATGGCAAGATCCAGAGTAAAGAGCTGAAGAATAGGTGCCCAAAATTGAGTTGAGCTAAAAATCTTTGGAGCTAAAGAGGTCTGTGAATTATAGTGTACTGTAGTTAGATGGGTAATCTTCATGGACATTGAAATCTACCAGGAGAGAATTTAGTAGAGAAGAACTTGAATGAGGTTCCCAGGTCTTCAGTGAAGGAGGAAGGTATGACTAAGGGATCAGAAGATGATAGTAATAAGAAGATATATCTTGAAGGTGGGGCCATAAAGGCCGTTAAGGAGGATGATCATGATCTGGATGTTGCAGTAGAAAGGCAAGTGAATGCTCTTTAGGGGGTATGGATTACAGTAAAAAGAGAGAATTGTGAGAAAATCTTCAGGGGAAAGCCAGGTTTAAGTCAGGGTAAACAAGTAGAAGGAACATTGTTAAAAAAAGATTGAGGAAGCCTGGGATTTAGTAACAAGAGAATGATTATTATCTTGGGCATAACGGAAAAAATTTGGGCAGTGACAGTATGGAAGAAACCAGGGCTGAAGGCATTTGGATGAGGAAGGTAGATCATGGTGGGGATCTTGGTGCCTTTGCATGTTGGAAGTTATTGATTGGGCTCAACTGTGAACTTTGACACAAGTTATTTTGGTAATGAAACTGGTTTAAAGCCCCAAATAGTATGTGGCTTGATCTCAGAGGTGGTGAAGGCTTTTTATAAAGTTAATGGCAAGGGCAACAAAGGCCATATTCTGGGTGAGAGATTGATGTCCTCAGCAGAGGTGAAGTCCCTTGTTAGGTAAAGGCTCCCAGGAGGAATTGTATGGTCAAGGGCTGGTTGTGCCCAAGGACTCCCCATGATACTTATAGAAGGACTGTATGTCCGTGTTGGGGGAGGGGGAATGTGGTGACAAGGATTATTTTAGAATAGAGTGATCATCCGTTTAAAATTAAATGGCTTATGTAAATAAACTAGAAACAAACGAGTAACTATTGTGTTAGGATGTTGAGATGTGGGTTAACTTTTCTGTTATATGCTAAGATTTTTGTAAAAAATTAAGAGAGAAATGTGAACTATAGATTTTTGGGGAGCTTCTATATGAATTAAACTTGGTTGCAAGTGACAGAAAACCCAACCCAAACTGGCTTAAAAAGAGAATAATTTGTCTTATATTATTGGAAGGTCCAGGGAAACCATGGCTTTTGTAGTTTATATCATGTCATCAAAACTTAGTCTCTTTTCTGAACTCAGATGTGCTTTCCACTGTTTGTTAATTTGATCTTTAGGTTTCATCTGGCAGCAAGATGGCTGAAATAGGTCCAGTTGCTGCCCTTCCTCCTCAAGTGCAGCAGGAAGAACTTCTCATCTAACAACTCTAACAAAAGTCCTGAGCTTGACTGTCATTGACCAGAAGAGCCATGTGTCCATCTTTGATCCAGTTATAGCCAGAGGAATGTCATGTCCTGATTGACTTATGTGTGGGTCACTAGTAGTTATTGATTAGGATCAGAATCTCTCTCACTGCTTTGGACTTCTTTGTGTACAGTGGAATAGTCTTATATGTCTGAATTTTCCTTTGTATCTAGATTGCTTCTGTCTTAGAACAATCTGGGTATCTGAGACTTCATCCATTTAGTATTTCCACAGTAAATGCCTTGAGTATTGAGTTTTGTAAAAGGCACAGTCCCAGGTATTTTTGAATTCTAAGTTGAATAAACCTAGTCTTTGCTGTCAGGGAGGTAACTGCTTATATAAGGGTTATTTGGGTATGTTAGGCTTTTTTCTGTCACAAGTAATGAAGAGAGACTTGGATTTCTTCAAGGAGTGGATGTTCATTGCACAGGTCCTCATGGTAAAAGGGAACCTGGAGTCTCACGGTAATCCAGGATGAGCAGTGTGGATCCAGGCCTCAGGGAGACTGGGATGTAGTTAGGGAACTGGAAGGATCCACTGAAGCTGTGGAGTATATTTTCTTACAGCTTTTTCAGCTATAAAACAATGGGAATTTGTCATTATTTACTCTGCATTGGGGTTCTTTTTTTTTAATCTTAATTTTTTTTATTATAGTATAGTTGATGTACAATATTATATAAGTTTCAGGTGTATAACATAGTGATTCATAATTTTTAAAGGTTATATTCCACTTATAGTTATTATAAAATATTGGCTGTATTCCCTGTGCTGTACAGTATATCCTTATAGCTTATTTATTTTATAAATTGTAATTTGTACCTCTTAATCTCTACCCTCACTTTACCTCTCCCCCCTCACTTTCCCAACTGGTAACCACTAGTTTTTTTTCTGTATCTGTGAGTTTGCTTCTTTTTTGTTATATTCACTAGTTTATTTTTTAGATTCCACATGTAAGTGATTATCATACAGTATTCATCTTCCTCTCTCTGACTTGTTTCACTTAGTATAATCCCCTCTAAGTCCACTCACATTGTTGCAGATGGCAAAATTTCATTCTTTTTCATGGCTGAGTAGTATTCTGGTGTGTGTGTGTGTGTGTGTGTGTGTGTGTGCGTGCGCGCGCGCGCACCACATCGTCTTTATCCACTCGTTCTATATCTTGGCAATTGTATATAATGCTGCTGTGAATGTGGAGGGTGCATGTATTTTTTCAAATTAGATTTTTCAATTTTTTCAGATACATACCCAGGAGTGGAATTGCTGGGTCATATGGTAGTTCTATTTTTAGTTTTTTGAGAAACTTCCATACTGTTTCCCTCTATGGGTCATAACGTTTGCAAATATTTCCTCCCATTCAGTAGGTCGTCTTTTCATTCTGTTGATGGTTTCCTTTACTATGCAAAACTTTTAAGTTTAGTTTCATTTATTTTTACTTTTGTTTCCTTGGCTTTAGGAGACAGACCCCCAAAAATTATTGCTATGATTTATGTCAGAGAGTGTGCTGCCTATGTTTTCTTCAAAGAGTTTTATGGTTTCTGGCCTTACACTTAGGTCTTAAATCCATTTTGAGTTTATTTTTGTATATAATGTTAGAAAGTGTTCTAATTTCATTCTTTGACATGTAGCTGTCCGGTTTTCTCCCTCTGCATTGGGGTTTCTTAATGTCTTTTTTTAGTCTTTGGTCATATCATTCCTGTCTCATCCAACTCCTGGTTTTGCTCTCTTCTTTGTATATGGTTTTGCTTACCTTTTGGTTTCATCCTCATGTATGGTCCATGCTATCTATGGCCTCTTCTCCAACAATGTTTTAGTTTCTGTTCTTGCTTCCCAACTACATGAATCTCTCCTACCACTTTCCATTCGGTTGAGAGAGAGTGAGAGAGTGCATTTGTACATCTGAGAAAGAGAATCTGTCTTGTTATTCCTGTTGGGCTAAGCTCCTTAGCAAGCTCTTTCCCCATAGGCTGACAGCTGGACTGTAGGTCTGGTGACTTTTGGGTCAGGTGCATCCCCCTATCTAATAGACTAGGCCCAAGCGCCAGAGTCATATGGTACTTAAATAGAGATTTGGGGAACACTGAATTAGAGGCTACCACATAGTTCTTTAATAAGCACAAGGGTCTGTTGGTAAAGCTTGTGCCTTGAGAGGGAATTGTATTGATTCTGTCCAGCATGGTGAGAACTAGATTTGATGTACCAAAAGAGAATTACAAACAAAATTCTTGTCATTTATAAGAAGAAGGCTAATGTTTACCCAGCAAGGGCATCAAGACAGGCTCCATGAGAGCACTAGACTTTTAAGAATGAGGAAGATTTCAGAAGGGGATTAGGGAGAACAATGTTGATGAATTTATGGACTGCAGTGGCAGAGAGAAGATACAGTATGGACAGTGGCAATTGTAAATGCAAAAGGTTCAGGTTAAAAAAAAAAAAAGAAAGCGTGGGGCATATTTAGTCCAGCATATAGCAATAGTGAAAAAACCAAGTCCAGGGTAATGAAGTCTTTTTCTGCAAAGTTGAAGAGTTTAGATACAACATAGTGCTCATTGTTTAATTGTCTTGAAGTTCCCACTGACCTTAAAATCACTATAAGAAATTACAAATGAGCAAAGTTTAGTCCAGGGAAGTGAAATAACTTTTTTCTTGGAGTTAGGATGAGATCACTCATCATTTGCATCTTAATTTTGTGACATTACTACTATTTTTTTCTGTATATGTATTTTTTAATTGAAAAAATATGGAATGCTTCATGAATTTACGTGTCATCCTTGCACAGGGGTCATGCTAATCCTCTCTGTATTGTTCCAGTTTAGTATGTGTGCTGCCGAAGTGAGCATGACATTACTACTCTTGTTCAACATTTATTTGTAAGACTTTCCTCTGTGATTAAAAAAATTGGGGGGGGGATATAATTCACATACCATAAAATTCACCCATTAAAGTATACAATTCACTGGTTTTTAATATATTCACAGTGTGCACTCATCACCACAGTCAATCTTAGAACATTGTCATCATCCCAGCCAGAAACCTTATATCCATTAGCAGTCACTCCCCCATTTCCTCTCATCTCCTCAGCCCTAGGAAACCATCAGTCTGCTTTATATCTCTGGATTATACAATATGAGGTCCTTTAAGACTGACTTCTTTCACTTACATTTTCAGGATTCAGCCACATTGTAGCCTGTATTGGTTCTTCATTCCTTTTTGTGGCTGAATAATATTCCACTGTATGGATATACCATACTTTGATTACCCATTGTGTATTTGATGGAAATTTGGTTGCTATGAATAATGCTGGTATGAACATTCATGTACTTTCTTTTCGTGAACATATTTTTTCATTTTTCTCAGGTATATACCTAGTAGTAGAATTACAGGGTCATAGGGTAATTTCATTTAACCTTTTGAGGAACTGCCAAATGCACCTGTACCATTTTACATTCCCACCAGGAGTATGAAATATCAATTTCTCCACATCCTTGCCAACATTTATTATCTGTCTTTTTGATTAAAGTCAACTTAGTGTGAATGAAGTACCATCTCATTGTGGTTTTGATTTGCATTTCCCTAGTCACTAATGACTGTGACCACTTTCCATGTGTTTATGTTGGCCATTTGTGTATCTTTGTTGGTGAAATATCTAGTCAAGTCCTTCGCCCATTTTTGAATTGGCTTATTTGTCTTTTTGCTGTTGAGCTGTAAGTTATTTATATATTCTAGTTCTTTTTTTCTGTTTGTCTAATCTGTCTTATCTGTCTATCTCCTGTATCAGATATATGACTTGCAAATACCTTCTTCTATTCTGTGGGTTATCTTTTCACTATTAATAGATTCTTTTGATGTACAAAGGTTTTACATTTTAATGGAGTCCAGTTTATTTATTTTTCTTTTGTTTCCTGTGCTTCTGGTGTCACTGCCAAAATCCAAGGTTGTGAAGATTCTTCCAAATGTTTTCTTCTGAAAGTTTTATAATTGTAGCACTTACATTTAGCTCACTGATCTGTTTTGAGTTACTTTTGCATATGGTGTAAGGTAGGAGTCCAATTTAATTCTTTTACATGTGTTTATCTTGTTGTCTCAGCACCATTTGTTGATGTTCTGTAATAGTAATGAAGTGTTTCTGCATGCTTTGTGTAATAGGGTATTTCTTCATAATTTATAAGTTGGTCTAAGCTCTCATTCAAAATATTATTATACAAAGTGAATGTAAAAATTATCATTATTGAAATATTGGAGTTGAAAAGTACCATAGAGATTTTCTTCAACCCTCTTCATTTTATAATTGTAGAAACCAAGACCTGGGGAAGTTAATTGATGTCCAGGGTTGTAGTAGCTAATCAGTTAGAGCTAATGTTTTAACTTATGAGTTGGCAAACTTTTTCTGTAGAGGGCCAGACAGTAATTTCAGGCTTTGTGGGCCAAGGGGCTGATAGGGTATTATGTAGGTACTTCTATAATGTTTGACAAGAGAAAAGAATAATAATTGAGTGTTTTTTGTAATACCTGTCTGCTGAGAAGAATGGATTTCTGTTTTTGAAGGATAATATTTTATTTAATTGAAGTTCAAAGTTAGTGTTCCTAAGCGTCAAAACGGATGGCAAATGTTATCTGTTATTGCTGATCTGTTTGAGGTTTTGTGTGTTTCATCTTTGAAAATGTCTTTTACATAGACAGTTATTGCCAAATACTGATACCAGTTCACAAGTCTATGTTTCTAATTGTGCATATTCATTGCTTAGAAGGCACGTATAGAATTCTGTTAGTTTTTTTCTCCTGATACTTGCCATTTAATATTAACTGCAGATTAATTGCTTTCAATCTGAAGCTATATGGAAGCTCCTCAGTTGCACAGGTAAATGGATTTTGAAATAGGGAAGTACCCTTTCATTTGTATCAAGGTCTGAAAAACACTGCTGGAACAGTAGGTATATTGGAAAATATATCTACTACAAATTTGTATAGGAATGGACATTTCCCCCAACTTTTTAATTTCAGTTTTATTGAGATACATGATATATAGCACTGTATAGCTTTTAAGGTGAAAGTATAATAACTTGACTTACATATATGTGAAGTGATTGCTGCAGTAAGTTAACATCCATCATCTCATATAGATACCTAAACAAACAAACAAATAAATAGTTTTTTCCCCTTGTGGTAAGAACTTTTAGGATTTACTCTCTTAGCAGTGTTATACCATACAATGCTGTTAACTATAGTCATCATGTTGTACATTACATCCCCAGTACTTACTTATAACTGGAAATTTGTACCTTTTGACCATCTTCATCCAATCCCCATCCTGCCTTCCCCTCCACCCCACCCCCGATCCCCTGCCTCTGGAAACCACAAATCTGATCCTTTTCTATGAGCTTTTTTTTTTTCAAGATTTCACGTATGTGAGATCATACAGTATTTGTCTTTCTGTATGACTTATTTTATGTAGAATCATGCCCTCAAAGTCCATACCTGTTGTTGCAAATGGCAGGATTTCCTTTTTTAAGGTTGAGTAATATTCCATTATACATATGTATCTCACACTTTATGCATTCATCTATTGATGGACACTTAGGTTGTTTCCATGATGTCTTAGCTATTATCAATTATGCTACAATGAAGACAGGATGGTGGTGGTCGTGGTGGTGGTGCAGATATCTCTTTGACATAGTGATTTCATTTACTTCAGATGTATACCCAGAAGTGGAATTGCTGGATCATATGGTAGTTCTGTTTTTAATTATTTGAGGAACCTGCATACTATTTCCATAGTGGCTGTGCCAATTTATAGTCCCATCAATAGTGCACAAGTTTTCCTTTTTCTCTATGTCTTTGCCAGCATTTGTTATCTCTTGTCTTTTTGATGAAAACATGCAGGAGGTGATTATCTCTGGGAATGGACACCTTGAGTAGTTGTTTAACTCTTGATGGCATGGGACGTGTATGCAGCTTGACATTACTTGTGACTCAAACTGTGTTAGTTTTCATTGAAATGACTTTGCTGCAGTATATATTTTGAATATAATCACTGTTTTGCCTGTTGATTTTAGGGTTAAATTCATTGAGAAACATTATTGAGTCTGTAGGAAAAGCTAATTTACAAAGCTATTCACTGTTCAGTAATAGCTGTTTAGGGTAGTTCTTATTCAGAAAAATTTCAGCTCAAAAAAATTGCAGTAAAAGGAAACCATAAACAAAACGGAAAGACAGCCTACGGAATGGGAGAAAACATTTGGAAATGATGAGACCAAGAAAGGGATTAATTTCCAAAACATACAAACAGCTCCTATACCTCAATAACCAAAAAACAAACAACCCAATCAAAAAATGGGCAGAAGGCCCAAACAGACATTTCTCCAAAGAAGACGTACAGATGGTCAACAGGCACATGAAAAAGTGCTCAACATCGCTAATTATTAGAAACTACAATGAGGTATCACCTCACACCAGTCAGATGGCCATCATCAAAAAATCTACAAATAATAAATGCTGGAGAGTGGAGAAAAAAGAACCCTTGTACACTGTTTATGGGAATGTAAATTGGTGCAGCCACTATGGGGAACAGTATGGAGGTTCCTTAAAAAACTAAACATAGGGTTACCATATGATCCAGCAATCCCACTCCTGGGCATATATCTGGAAAAGATGAAAACTCTCATTTGAAAAGATATATGTACCCTCAGGTTCACAGCAGCTCTATTTACCATAGCCAAGACATGGAAGCAACCTAAATGTATATTGACAGATGAATAGATAAAGAAGATGTGGTATATATATGAATATTACTCAGCCATAAACAAGAACAAAATAATGCCATTTGCAACAACATGGATGGACCTAGAGATTATCATAAATAAGTGAAGTAAGTCATACAGAGAAAGAAAAAATATCATATATCACTTATATGTGAAATCTAAAAAAAATGATACAAGTGAACTTATTTACAAAACAGAAATAGGCTCACAGACATAAACAAACTTACTGTTACCAAAGGGGAAAGAGAGGGGAGGGATAAACTAGGTGTTCAGGATTAACAGATCCACACTACTATATATAAAATAGATAAACAACAAGGACCTATTGTATGACACAGGAAACTATATTCAGTGTCGTATAATAACCTATAATGGAAAAGAATCTGAAAAAGAATCTGTCTGTCTGTTTTTCTATCTATATATCTGTCTGTCTATCTATCTGAATCACTTTCCTATATATACACCTGAAACTAATACAACATTGTAAATCAACCATACTTCAAAAAAATTTTTAAAAATTGCAGTAAAACTTTACCACTGCTAAGCCTGCTAACTGCTTAGTGCTAGGGCAAATCAGGATATTCATCTTCTATTTCTGAAAAAAATTCATTAAGTCAAGGATGGTTAAGTCCACAAGAAGGAAGTTAACCATTGACACTACTGGTTGTATAACACTTGATAGATTCAGTTGTTTTCTGCAAGGTATCTTCCCATGAATAATGGAATGAATAACTAGGCTTTAAACATCTTAAATTTTCATCCTAAATTAAACTTTGTAAATTTGTCCAGTTAAATCCTTTTCTGCTCACATGTATTTTTACCACCCTCAGTTGTAATGTGTCTTAGCATATTCCACTTCAGGTTGCACTGAATTAGTGTTTTCCCAGATTTTTTGAAAATACTCTTGCTTGTTTTTGTTTCATGTTGATTACTCATACAGGCTAATTATTTAGTCACTTCAAACTTGTAGTACCTTCACAAATAAATTACAATAATGAAGAAATATTGGTAACTCCTATTGACTCATCACAACGTAAGCAAGACCCTCAGAATCATTTGCCTTGATATTATGTGATTGTTT